CATTTTTTAAACATTTATTTATTTATTTATTTATTTTTGCGTCATGGTCTCACCATGCAGTACAGGCTGGCTTTGAACTCACTCTATAGTCCAGGCTAGCCTGGAACCCAAGGTGATCCTTCCGCCTCAGCCTCCAAATTTCTGGGAATACAGGCATGTGCCACCATCCCCGGCAAAGCAACATTTTTAACAAGAAAAAAACAACCCCCCCCAAATACTCCTATTATACAGTGTCTCCCAGGAAAACAAATCTACATGGAGAGGCTATTCCAGTAGCCTCCCCATGTGTCTGCCAGCTCGCCTTGCCTCTGTATATCCACGATTCTAGGACTCACTGCAGTCACTTTTCTCTAAGCCAGACAAGCTGCTCCAGGTGCCCCCACTTCAGGAAAACTGAGATTTTAATTGGCATGTCATTTAATTTAGATGAAATTCTACAAATGTACAGATAAGGGACATTCTCTTTGCAGGCATGCGCTTCCTAGTTCGAAATTGTACCAGAGTTTAATTTACTTGGATGAAAACAAGTGGTTGTATTTGTACATGTTTCAGAGAAAACTGAAAAAAGACTCTCAATCTCTCTTTTATACACTCGGATCAGCTCTTACCCACACAGTGGAGAATAAGGATATGCCAAAAATTTGCTGGCATGATCCATCACAAGACAATTTCGGAGGGCCTCTCTATCTCTGTATGAAATCCCAGCACTGACAACTGCTTAACACCCAGTTGCCCTCAAGCCAGCAAAGGGAAGCAGGTTTGAATGAGGATGCTTTAAACATCTGTTCTTCTTGTAATCACTTTGTCTTTTCAATGACCCTTACTAACAAATCTCCTTTCTTAAACAATGTGTTGGCATGTTTGGCTGTTGTTGTTGTGAGACAGGGTCTCCCTTTGTGCTCCAAACTCCCTTGAACACACTGTGTAGCCCAGGCTGGCCTCGGACTCATGGTGATCCCTCTGCCTCAGCTTCTGAGTGCCTGGATGGCAGGTGTGTACCACCATGCCCAGTTTAACTGGCATCTTTTTCTCTGTGAGTAAAGATAAAATTAAGATAACTCTAAACAAATTTTTAAAAATAAACTAAGGTGGGGCTGGGGAGATAGCTCAGCAGTCTAAGAACTTACCTGGCAAGTGCAAGGACCTGGGTTCAATCCCCGGTACCACATGTTGAAGCTGCCAGCCTGCAACTTGGTGGCACATGCCTGTAATCCCAGCGAGGGGGAGGCTGAGACAGGAGGATCACTACGAGTCTGAATTGCATAGTAAGATCCTGTATCAAATAAAATAAAATTTTAAAAAAGTGGGCCGGGGAGATGTCTCAGTGGAATAAGCGCTTCCTTGGCAAGCGCAAGGATGTGAGTTCAATCCTCGGTTCCGCAAAAAAAAAAAAAAAAGTAAATTAAGGAAAGAATATTAAAAATTAGTCTTACTGTTACCCAAGAATAGTGCAGTGACTAACAGATGCTAGTAGGCTCAAGCATGTTTGCTGAATGATTTTGTTTTTCCTACTGGAGATTGTTCCTAGGATATTTGCAGTGAGTTATATCCCCAGCTAAATTATTATTATTATTATTATTATTATTATTATTATTATTGTATTTTTAGGGAAGGATCTGCAAGGTGTTCAGGGTCTCACTACTAGATCAGACTCACAGTGATTCTCCTGTTTACAGCCTCCCACGTGCTGGGATCACAGGTGCCCCACCACACCCAGTCTCATTTGCTGACTCAGTGTGCCCAGGGGGTGAGCCTGGCACATCAGGCCCGGGGATGAAACCCCTAATCCGCTGAGCTGTTTGGCCAGCCCTGAATGAATTTTTGAGTGAACGACATAGATCATATATTAATATTTTATCTTAAGATGATTTGGAAAATGTTAAAAGTGTAGGCTGCTGAGTCAAATAGGAGTAGTCAAGGCATTATTCCACCCATTATTTTCAAGATCTTTTTGGGGAAAAGCAATTTTCTTACCCAGGAATGGAGTTTATTATCTAGAGATAATGTTCGGTGGGAGGAAACAATGTGCTAAAATACTTAGCAAAGGACGGGCACAAAGCATGTTTACAAGCTCAGCAGCATGAGCTATGCTTATTATTTCCAGTGCCTATTAGGCCCCTGGAATCTGAGATCCCCAAAGACCAAGGCTTAGATTCCTCCCCAAGGGCTCAGTGAGTGGATGCAACTTCAAAATTTCCTTTTTCTCTGCACTGGAACAGAATCTAGTATGTGGTAATCAACTACATTTATATTCCATAATCCATCATGGGCTCTTACTGGGTCAGTTCTGCACACATGATGCTTCTAAATAAAATAAATAAAAAATCTTTTGCTCATGGCTACTGACCAAGTCTCAACAACCTAGCAAATGGAATGAACTGAGCATGGTGGCGGGATTGATCATGTTGTGTCCTATTTTTACTTTTGGAAGAGCAACTCTTGTCAATGCTACTTCTTTAATATGCAGTTTGAAGCTGGGTGTGGTGGCTCACACCTGTAATTTCAGCACTTGGGAGGCTGAGGCAGGAAGATCACCACAAGTTCAAGACCAGGTTGGGCTACTTAGTGAGTTCAAGGCTAGCCTAAACTACATAGACCTGTCTCAAAAGACCAAAAAGAAAAAAAAAAAAAGCAGTGTGGGACTCAATATCAACATTCAAAACTGCACTCCTAATGTACTGTGTACACTTATAATATTCTTATTGAAATCAATTCATAAAATGTTACATATGATATATTATAGGTTTTAATTTTATTATTTATTTGTGTGTGTGTGTCCATCTCAGCCCACCAGGGGGCGGGGCTGGCTGGCATGTGGTGCTGGGGGATTGAACCGCGGTCCCTGTGCTTTGCTAAGCTTGTTCTAAGTAGGTGCTTTAGACCACTGAGCCGTCTCACCAGCCCCAATATGATATATTATATATGTATGTATACTATACTCAGTTCACAAATATGGTAGCATGATAACATTATAGAAGAGCAAAGGGAAAAATAACCCAGGATCCCCAAACCCAAATTTCACCATCATAATCATGGCTGTCCTCTGTAAAGTCACACCATGTCCTTGATCATCTGGAAGCTGATGTCTGAGCACCTTCACCTCTAAACTAAAGCCTATAAAATGTGTTTTGTAAATATATTTGGAAAGTACTTTGCCACTCTCGCAAACAAGTAATTTATGATGATCAACACAGTTCCTGTTCCATTTCTTTAACAGTATGCAGTTCTTGATGATCCTTAGGCCTAATCAAGTCATTTTTACCTTTCTGTTTTGTAAATGTATGCCATTTGGGGGTAACACCTCCTCTCCTTTGTAGAAATAGTGAAGGGAAAATATGGATTTGCATAAAGGAAGAATGGGAGGAGGGGGGAGGCAGGAAGAGGCAGGGGTTGCAAGCCAGAAAGCTTTGGGCTTGCTGTCAGAAACAATGAATGCTACTTGACCCCATTTATGGACACGTGAGTGTAGGTAAAACACCCTGCCTCTCTGGGGTTTTTTTTCCCCCCCCTTTTGCAAAGTTGTGGAGTGAGGGAGGGAGATTCATTAGACGACTTCCAAGTGCACTCGCGTTTTGTCACTCCATCTATGTGATCCACAAGCCAAATCCTACTGGCACCTGTTTTTATGTTTTTGCAAGCTGTGAGCTTTGAGTTATCTTCTTGAAAAAAATTAAAAGAATCATTTTTTCATGATGTAAGAATTACATATAAATTGATAGTTTCCTATGTGTTGCTGAAATATTGCCATGATCACTTGTTTATGTATTATGTGCAGCTGGTTTTATTCCAAGACATTGTGCGTTGAAAAGTTAGCACAGAGGCCTCAAGGCCCACGAAACCAAAAATGTTTACTATCTGGCTCTTGACAGAAAAAGCTTGTCTACACTTATTTTATATACATTATATTTAGTATACCTGCTCTTTTGGGTTGATCCCTCTCTTGCCTATGAGATGTGTACTTATCAAGTAATTTTCAGAAGGTAATTATAATGCATAAGCCTATCAACTGTTTAGTTTTCTAAGAGAAGGAACCAGATCTTGTTGATTATTGGTTGGTGGACTAGGCGCCTAACATAGTGTATTTATGCACAACAGGGGGTCTGTATGTGTTACTGAATAAAACGTTCTAACACCAGTGGTAAGTCGTTTATTTTATTTTAAAGCCAGCAATTTTAGAATGCCGGAAGGAATTTTTTACTATTAACTAAATTGCCTATTATGTTAATTTCTAATTTTCCTTTACAATTATTTTTTTAAGAAGCTTTGCTGCTCATCAAAATTCTCCCTGCCCCCGCAAACACTTATTTGAAATATGCAATGAAAATAAGTTTTGTGTTCTTGCAAAAGCCTACCAGAATCATTTTACTTGTCAAATAAACCGTTTATTAAATAGTATTAGTAAAACTGAAATGGCCTCAGCCTTTTACACCCGTACGCCACATTTTACAAACGAGGATTGAATTTCAAGGCATGCTTGTCTAAAACATTCTACGTAATTTAAGCACAACGGCGAAAATGTACGCATGCAGATCAAAAATGAGTGTGTAAGGAAAAAAAAAGTAAGATGAACGTAACTGCACGTTGTGCTTCAGATTTACTACAGCTGAGTCATTTCGGGACACAAGTGTGTGTTTCCAGGAAAAAAAAAAAAAAAAAAAAAAAAAAAACCTAAAGGAAGGAACCAGGATGAGGGGCCCTCCGGATTCCCCCAGGCACTCCCAGAAGCAGACACCGGTATTCCACGACCAAGAGGCGGCGTGGTCAAAAACGGCGCCGTGGCCCCTTTAAGAGACACAGCACCTTCTCCAAGATACCATCTTGCACTAGGAGTGCACTTAAACTCTCTACCTACCTTGCTAGATCCCTTCTCCCTGATTGGGTACTGCTGGCCGGCGGGGCGAGAGAGTCTTCTCATTGGCCTTGCGCGCACGGCCCTCTCTTATTTATTGGTCAGGATGCCTGCCACTCGGCGTTATCTCCCGCCTACCTGGACCTTCATGTATGGTTGAGTGAGGGCTCTGGGGTTAGTTCCTGTTAGGCCCGGGCCGGGGGAGTAGGTGGAAGTCTCCTAAGATGCCCGGTGGGCTAGGGCACTGGGAAGCCTGAAGGGAGCGCGAGGACGCCGCGAGGGGAGCCCCACGGCAGGCCTGAAGAAGAGCGGCGACCGAGCCCGCCTTCCCTGCACCATGCTCATAGAGGATGTGGATGCCCTCAAGTCCTGGCTGGCCAAGTTACTGGAGCCGATGTGAGTGAGCCAGGCCGGGCCCGGGCGGCGAGCGTGGGCG